AGACGGCATCACAGTATGGTAAGGGGTGTAACATTTCCGTCACACGCTTGAGCTTTTCGGCCAATCACAACGCACTGGATAGTTGGTTAATCAGAGCACACCTCGCTTTTCAGACCGATTAGTTTTGTAAAAATCGACGCGTTTCAGAAAGGCGGGGCATAGAGGAGAAACAATAATGTACAGTATGTGGAAAATAATGTGTTTTTTTAACCTTAAACCGCATAAACACATTTCATTACACCAAATACACAAAATAATGTTCTTTTTAGCAGCATCATATGACCCCTTTAAACAACCCAAATGTGCTTTTTACTCTTTTGTCTTGCTTTTCAAAGAAAAAAAAAAAAATCAAAATAATCAATTACAAAACAACAATTTACAAATATTTAACACTGAACTTTTTTTTTTTAAACATTCTAGCAGACATTATACCAATAAAGCACAAATTAACTTAAAATTAATAAGTTAGTAAAATGATAGTTTCTGGCCATTTTTGAGACCCTATTCTTGAATAAAGCATGCATTTTTTTTTTTTTATTGTACAAATAAATGCAGCCTTGCTGAGCAGGAGAGACTTCTTTTAAAACAGAAAACATTACAGATCTCCATGTGTGAATGTTATAATAAATGTATTCATAGAGCTGTTGCAATTATTATCGTTATTATTGTCTTTTCTATTTTATTTTACAGAACAACAGTACAATTACAACACTAACATTTATGAATGTTGATGGAGCTTTTATTTTGGCGGAAACCTGCAGTTGACTTTTTGTTGACAACACCAGATTTATAAATGAGTCTCATTACGAATATGTTGCACGTATCACACTGTTACATGCCTTGTAAAAATTCATAAAAATGTGACTGAGCAACTGACGAGTAACACTGTTTCAGCGCAGATTTTCCTCGCGCTTTGGACTTTGAACCCTGGCTAACGAGTTCGTGCAGCGCTGTTTGAATACATGCAATTTGTGCATGTATTAGAAAACATAACGTTCTGCAGTTTATTTAGTTGTTTAATTAAGGCCATTCCCACTGACATGTGTGCTGCATTATAAAGAGTGCGCGCCTCTCACTCTACGCTGGTTGCTATTTGATCGCGTCACGTCATTGTTCAGTACAACTTATTCAGTGTTTTCGCTTATTCAGCCGAACACCAAAAGAGCTTTTTTTTGCTATTTTCGGCCAAATAATTTCAGTTGCCGAACATTTGGTGCATCCCTTATAGAAATGTTAATAATTCTCCACACCAGTTTCAATATTACTGCAAAAACTAATACTAGCCTAGACAATATACTAGGGATGCACGATATTGGATTTTTGCCGATATCCGATATGCCGATAATTTTCAACTCATTTTGGCCGATAGCTGATGCCAATACCGATATATAATTAATTTTAATTTTGGTTAGTTTTTAACAAGAACTTATTTGTTAGAATTAAATAAACAATAATAAAGTTATTTTATAATGACAGTACATTGAAGATTTGAAAATAACTATAAATAAACTATATATATATTAATCACTGCATTTTTTTTTTCTTCTGAAAGATGCAGTGGTAACCTTAATATTTTATTTTATGATTTAACATTTGTAGATGGTCTAAAGCAAAAGAGTTGTAAACATTCTGAAAATCTTTTAGAGCTCATAATTTGTTTAAAAAATATAACATATTACACATTAATGAACATATATATATATAAAATTATTTAATTTAAGTGTCATGTTTGTGATTTTTTATTTTTTTTCATGTAATTTTCTGACCTTTAAATCAAAACATTCTCATGATTTTATGGCATCAATTACTGCTTTATTTAATCAGAAACACAGTCTAAATATTATTTGGCTATTTTGCTTTCATTTTATTAGAAGTAGGCCAACAGCGCCCCCTACGGAATTAAAACTCCTTTCCGAACGGGCTTTAGGACCCGGGGGAGGCTGCCGCTGCACATGCTATTACTGTTTAGTCTATCACACACCAAACCCATCATTCTGTACGTGCATTTTCAGTTTAAATGCAGCGATCCAAAACACCAATCACCATTTAGGCAAAACTTTGCTTCAAGAATGAGTCACACTGCTGACGTGATCTAATCACTAGCACACCCTAAAAAGGCAGTCCGGTACTAAAATCGCACCCAGTTCCGGCGGTGCGAAAACGCCAAAAAGTGGGTAGTTCCACAATTAGTTCTGGTACTATGAAAAGGTTCCCGCGGTGCGAAAGGCCCTAATGTAACTAAAAAAGTTCCCAAATTTAATGAACACAAGTAAACAGTAATAGAGTACAAACAAACAAACTAATTACAACATGACAAATAAATACAATACAACAAAGATAGTTTTTCAGGTAGGTCTATCAGAAATAAGAAATGCTACATAAATTGAATAAGGTAATCGATGTTTAAAAAAAAAATGCATAGCCTTCACTGTATAAAATCAATATACATATTAATCTTGAGTAAATTTAAATGTAAAGTTATTCAATCAAGAATAACTTAATAATAGTGAATGATCAACATCTGTGTGGGGAAACTCCACATGAAACTCCTGGATTCCTATTGAAAATATGTATTTCAAGGATTTTAAAAGATAGTAATTAAGTGTTTAAGAACCGTGTAAAATAACTCAATTTATTACTCATGCACTTGCTGACCGGCATCATGATGTGTGTGTGCACAGAAACTCTCAGACAGCGCACGACTGCCAAATTGAGTTATTTTTCACTGCTTGTTGCACTTCAATGGTTTAAAATTGTTTTCAAATCACATGACTTAAAAGCACATGTAAATGATAACGTTTCGTGAGGGCGCAGAGCTACAACTTCACATTGAGCTAGGGCTGAGCGATATGGCCTAAAATCAAAACCTCGATTAATTGAACACTTTACCTCAATTACGATTATTGAACGATTATTATTATTTTTTTTTTTGCCCTCATAGTTCATTACAGGTTTGTACTATAAATATAGCTACTCAACTATTAAAAGGTGGGATTTTTTTTTCTAATGGAAGAGTGCATTTCTTATCTTTGCTTCCTTCAATTATTTCAAAATCACAAACTATTTATGGTTATTTGTTGAATATTTTGAACAATTGAAATCAAAGATTGCTAGGGCTGCCGCGATAACCGCAATATCGCAATACCGCACTATTGACGAGCAAACCGCAGAGGAATGCAAGAACCGCAGCAACCGCGATTTTTGCATGTTTTCTTTTTTCATAGGGTTATGCCCTTCTCGTTTTACACTTCGTGCATCTGTACTGAATATTAAATACGTTAGTAATGATAACATAATGTGTACAATGCTGATTTGTACTGAGGCTCCGTAGATTTGCACTTAACAAGCCTAAACAGATAGCGAATGAGAGAGAGATCAACTGAGCATGTGCGATTACTTGCGAGTCATATATATTTATGAAAATAGGTTGTCATGTCCAAGGAAAGCCAAATCTCTGTCTTAGCATCGACGCATAGCTGGTCAGCTGAGCCTTCTAAAGTGGCGCTCAAAGTTAAAATGATTTCAACAGCATGTTTCATTACGTCTCTTTGAATGAATGAATCAGCGTTTTTGAACGTGTAGTTGAATGAACGGTTTAAAGACTCACTCAAAGACAGTCCCTTACCACCACCTTGTGGTGCAACACTGTAACTGCACTGACTGACAGCCCGTCTAGAACGCTAGAATGCGCGCAGGTGGAAATATCAATAGAAAGTATCTTGTTCAGTCGGATTCGAGGATCAGAACAAACTGTTATACATAAAGGCTAACAATAGCCTAACAATCTTATTGTCAGGTTTATATTCTGTTATGTGGATCGTTATTTTGTCATTCTCTTCTGTTTACTTCACTTCCTGTTTCAACGCTATTTGGTTTCGGTTTCATTGGTTTCTGAATATATATATGGCGATGATACCGCATACCGCGCTATTGAGCCACTCAAAATTACCGCAAAGGAAATTCCTTCACCGCGACAGCCCTAATTTAGATTGCTTGAAACTAAGACGTCTTATGAAAAAAAAGTCACATTTCAGTTTAATTGCAAAAAGCACGTTTTCGACTGACAGCCCGTCTAGAACGCGCGCAGGTGGAAATATCAATAGAAAGTATCTTGTTCAGTCGGATTCGAGGATCAGAACAAACTGTTATACATAAAGGCTAACAATAGCCTAACAATCTTATTGTCAGGTTTATATTCTGTTATGTGGATCGTTATTTAAAAAAAAAAAAAAAATTGGAAATTACTTTCATTTTTTGCAAACAAAATAAATGAATATCGAGTCAAAAGTAGAAAATAACCAGCATCTCTTGCAAACAAAATACATTTTAAACATTGCCATGCGAAAAAGTAGAAAATAACTTGAATCTCCTGTAAACAAATGTTTTAATAAAACAATGAATGATTTAAAAAAATAAAGCGCAACGCAGATTGCCTACTCCGTCAAGGTGCCGTCAAATACAAAAGTTGCCATGCCAACCTGTCACCGCGACCAAAAGCTTGCAACGCTTGCCCCGCCTCCGGGGTCTTCTGATTGGTCCACTGTTTTAAAATTGACATTGATGAGTGCATAGATATCGCCGCTCACGTGCGAGACACTGCAAAACACGCGAGTGCAACGTTCACATCTGTACAGTGCCGACTAAACACGCAGTAGTATGTTTTTAAGTGGAAAGTATTAAAAGGATTAAAAAAACAAAATAACCGACATGGGAAAATTACGTCGGTTAGAGGTTCTGAATTTCGGTTTCTTTTCGATTAATCGTCCAGCCCTACATTGAGCTCAACTAAGACTGAGACAATAATCCAAAAAATCTATAGGTTAACAAATATCGACTGGTTTATTGTGTCTGCCGGTATATTGGCCACCCCTAGTTGTATTACAGGGAAAAGAGCAGGGTGCACATCCTGCTAAAGCTCTCTTTTGTCATTTTTGGGTGAGTTGTTCCAGTTACACTTTATTTTAAGGTGTCCTCGTTAGAATGTAATTATGCATTTAAGTACAGAGTAATATTAATTAACTACATGTACTTACTATATAGCTGGGGTTCGGATTAAGGTTTGGTTTACAGTTGCTTGCATGTAATTATGCATAATTTATTGTTGTTATAATGGTAAGTACATGTAACGTGTAACAAGGACACCTTAAAATAAAGTGTTACCGTTGTTCCTTTAACCTCTTGTTGCTGTATTTTGAGGAGCATTCAGTCCACTAGTTCTTGGATCATCATCACTACTAGAACCTGAACCAAAACGTGACCGTCTCAAGCGTTGTTACCGCTGCCTTATCTCTTACCAGAGCGCTCTGGGTGAGGTTTCCCTGGCTGATGTACTCCACCGCAGCCTCAAACGAGGTGAGACAGTAACTCAGCTCATCCTTACTGGACTTACGGAAGCGGAAGTTCTTTATGTAACTCAGATTGGCCATCCTGAAGAAAACATCAGGATATTAGCATTCTGCATGCACAATGAAGCTCTCAACAGACTGTTAAAGATATTTAATTAATCAATCACTGCTCTTGTAACTGTGCCGCAGAAAACACAGCACTCGACTCACCAGTTAGGGATTTCTGTTTTGATCAGCAGATAGAGAATGACTAACAGGAGATCATCAGCACACATGGCCTCAATGCTCACTGCTGAAAGAGACACATCACTGTGATGAGCTGAGTGTCTGATACATAATGCACACACCAATCACAAGAGCTTTTCATAAACTGTTAATCTGAGTGTTCAGTCCACCAAACTACAATGCTACAGTGAGCGCTTCACAGGAAGAAATAGATACTGGGTTTGGGGAAATGTGCAAGATTTTCATCTTCAGTTTAATCAAAGTTTTGTAGCAGCATGTAAACAACATGCGATTAAGCACAACTGCGCTGTATATTCTGCTTCAGAATAAATGAATAACAGATTGCAATTCTAACCAAAAAGACTGCTTTTTTTCATTGTTTTAGTTTAATTAATGAAGGACACTAATACTTTGTTGTTTGAGCATCTAACAATTCTAAAAATTTTGTTACACACTAAATGTTTAAACAATAAAACAAAGTGAAAACAAACAAGCAAATAAACAAATGAATGAATGAACGAACGAACAAATAAATAAATAAATAAATAAATAAATCCTGTGCAAGTAGCCATTTTTGGTTTTATCTCTATGGGTGAATCTCTCACAATTTATGTATTTATTTTCTGTAAAGAAGATGAGCCTTTTTCAGGAATAAAGAGATTGTTTACATTACTATCATGACAATTAGCCCTTAATAAAATGATTAGGTTCAATTCAATTCTGCATAAATAAAATACAGTACAACAATTCTTCTTCTTATTATTATTATTATTGTAGTGATGAGTAAAATAATTTATATTATGGTATTGATAAAATAAAATAAAATAATGTCTGGACATGTTACCAAGAATTGTCCACAAGGCTAAATAAGGCGTAATATAATACTGGTGATAATATTATTATAATATAATATTCATACTGGTTAAAAAATAAGGAAGGTTTGTGGTCACAGCACCTGTATCTCGACGTCTGGTTGAATGCATGACGGTTAAAATAACCTTCCTTATGCAGAGCAGTTTCTGCTGGGGAGACGTACAGCCGTTCAGCTGACTCAACTCCCGCTTAGCACGAGGAATATTTATACTACGAGAGAGAGAAGTGACAAATGATCACTAAATCATTTCATACTCTTGCAGAGTCTCTATATTCTTTTCAAAACGCTTGTTTAAAATAACAGACACTTTGTAAAGTAATGCCAGATATTTTTCTGTCATTTTGCATGTCTCGGTGACATTCTGGACTCAGGTCCTTCCCACGGTGTTAGTCTACAGCTCTCGAATAACTCAAAAATACCGAACAATAGTAGTAGTGGTTTGGCTTAGCAAACTCTAATGAAAAACACCTAGAGATAGAACGGCTCACCTGAATTCTGACTTCACACCAAGCTCTTTCTGCTGCAGATCCTGTAAGGACCGTGTTGTTTTGTTGAACGCTGCATCCTGTCAAGACAAACAGTACATTAAACAGGGAAATAATGCATCACTGCAGTGATCACCAACTTTTACTACAGCCATACAGAGCACATTATGTTAAAAACACACATTGAGGTGAAAATGAGGTAATTAATGGTAAATCAGTACCCGACTTGCTTCAAGAGTCCCCACATAACTAAAGAGTAGATCATGGATGCCATGATGGATGTACATCTGAAAATGGAAGAAATAAATGATAAAAAAAAATTGGGCAAAGTTATACGTTTAAAAAGCAGTGCATTTTTTAACTGACCTCCACTGCTTGTTTGAGTAGAGTCATCTGTATCTCCTGTCTCGCCAAAATCTTCTGAAATTGAGACATTTTACATCATACACTCTAAAAATTGCTGGGCTAAATACAACCCAGTGCTGGGTAAAATAGGGACAAACCCAGCAATTGGGCTGTTTTGACCCAGCAGTTGGGTTAAATGTTTAACCCAACTTTCTGGGTAGTAACCCAACCGCTGGGTCAAAACATAACCTATTTTACCCAGCACTGGGTTGTATTTAACCCAGCATTTTTTAGAGTGTAAGCTTCAGGAAAGAATCAGTTTTTTAAAGTATTGAAGTTCATAAAACAGCTTACCAGACGAGAGTCCCTCAACAGCAACTGAAGACATTTTGTGTAAAGGGTATTTACAGAGTCCTGAAGGATTGGGGGAGAAAAATAAATCCAAAATAAAATGACCTTAAATACCTTAAAGACCTTATATACAGTGTGAATTTTCTTTCCTGGTTATAACTAGGGCTGCAACAACTAATCGATAACATCGATTATGAAAATGCACGTCCAACTTCAGCCGGTTGCGTCAAATTACAGCACTGAATTACGCATTTCTATGGACAAAATGCATCTAAAAATAGTGGAGGAAACAGAATGAGATGCTGCAGGAGAGTTACGTGATCCAAGCTGCCCAAAACATGAGAATTCTTTATTTTAAGCTTTAAGCTAGTGCATTAGCGTAATGGCTTGCCCTGTCAGGCGCTTTGGCAGATGATGCGTGTGCGTCCTCAGTTTACGGTCATATCCTTATGCATTTTTATGGACAAAATGCATCTAAAAATAGTGGAGGAAACAGAATGAGATGCTGCAGGAGAGTTACGTGATCCAAGCTACCCAAAATGTGAGAATTCTTTATTTTAAGCTTTAAGCTAGTGCATTAGCGTAATGGCTTGCCCTGTCAGGCGCTTTGGCAGATGATGCGTGTGCGTCCTCAGTTTACGGTCATATCCTTATGTATAAATGTCACAAATTCACACGAGCATTTCCATTTTTGCATAAAGGTCCGTCCTGAGAGTCTGTGTTAAGTTTTAATCTTTACTGAATGAGCGGCGTGGCGTGCACGCGCGTCAGACAGACGGAAAACAGAGACAATTAATAATCGGCGCAAAAACATTTATTGTGCTTAAATATCTGTTGTTGAAAATTAAATTAAGGTTTAAAGGTCAACATGCATTGCGCATATTTTATGAGAGTAGGAACTTTAAGGGGATAACAGCGTGTAATTGTCTGAATATCAATATCAGACGCTTCATAACCTCCTTACACAGGATAAAGAAATGACAGTAAGACATGACTGTGATCAAAGTGAACGTGTGTTCCTGCAGAACATTACTCTTACCTATTGGTTACAACTGAGTTTGTGATTTTATTCGTCTTAATCATCTTTATTATTTAATTTTTAATGCAGAGATTTAAACTATATTAACTATATACAATGCTTAAATTTATTAAAACAAATAAGGTTTTTAACAAATTATGGTTTGTGCCACCGCTGCTCTAAACTAACAGTACTGGTGATTACCAAAATCCTTTTTTAGCTTTCTGTATGGGTTAGTCCTCCAATATGCGTAAGCTATTATTATTTTAGTTTTTAATGCAGAGATTTAAACTATATTCACTATATACAATGCTTAACACATTTATTAAAACAAATTTATGTAAGGTTTTTAACAAATTATGGTTTGTGCCACTGCTGCTCTAAACTAACAGTACTGGTGATTACCAAAAGCATTTTTTAGCTTTCTGTATAGGTTAGTCCTCCAATATGCATAAGCTCTTTAGTAACAGTAGTAGGCTATTTCTAATGCTATAATATAATTATTGCTGTTATCTATGAAAGAAAGGCAGAGAGCTTTATAGTGTGTTTTTTTCAGATACCCAATTAGTCAAAAAGTACATAAACAATGGCAGCAAGAATGCAAGCTATTATGAAGGGCATAGGAGGCCTTTTTTATGTGAATAAATACTATTTAGTTGTTTAAGTTTATTTGCCCAATTAATGACAATACATTTTTTTGATTTAAACAATTTTTTGACAGATTCCTAAAATGTGTTTTCTCTTTATTATCTAATAAATTGTTAAGCACTGTATGTTTTCATAGCATTCAGTTAGCACGTTTGTTTGAAGGACATTGGGCAGAATGTGGAATAGTGTTTTTTGTCAATAATAAAAAAAAATAAGTTTTTTTCCCAAATCTGATTAATCGAAAAAATAATCAACCAACTAATCGATTATCAAAATAATCGTTAGTTGCAGCCCTAGTTATAACTGTTATTATAGTTATACAATAAACTTTATCTGGCTTTTAATTCAAAGTAAACTGGGCAGCATCAAGCCCTGTATTACCTAAATAAACTGATCAAATCAAAATGAATCAAAATCTAATCAGGAGCTTGTGAATCGCACTTGAATAGAGTTTAAAAAGCTGTATCAATATCTAGCCTATTTAGCCCATCCAAACCATTTCATAATTTTGGTAATAAGACGCAAACAGTCTCAAAAAATCTCGAAAATTCCCATTATGATGGGTTTCAAATAATGATTGCAATGAGACTTAACTTCTCATATTAAACATGATGGCGACGCGCAAAGACGCAGCGGCTGAGAGCTCTCTGAAGTGGAACTATATTCTGTTGTTACTTTTGATCGTGTTTTGGAAAACTAATTCGGGGTCATTAGAGACTATTTGTTACACCCGTGAATCATTGATTTATATCGGGACGACACAACAACAGTCGGTAACGATCACTTTCCAGCACACGCATGGAATTCCAGTGGAGATTGCTAGGACACCGGGGACTCCATGGATTACCATACCCAGCAGCAGACGTTGGAGGCGGCGGAGAGAGCGTAAACAAAAACGAGGACGTAGGGCTGGCATGTTAGCGCGGCTAAAGAGGAACCCTTACAGACCACCACTCCCCAGTCTCTTCATCTCAAATGCAAGATCTTTAAACAACAAAATGGATGAGTTGAGACTTTGTTTAACATCACGGTCGACTATACAAGAAAGCTGCGTGATGATTATTACTGAGACATGGTTACACCCCATGTACCTAGCGGGCCGCTCTATACATCGTAGCGACAGGACTGAGGACTCCGGTAAGAGCCGGGGGGGTGGATTGTGTGTCTATACAAACAATAACTGGTACACGAATACTGCTATTATTGACAGACATTGTTCTCCAGATTTAGAGCTATTGGCAGTTAAATGTAGGCCATTTTATCTGCCATGTCTGTTGTTGTTGTCACTGCTGTGTATATTCCACCAGATGCTAATGAAAATGCAGCACTTGGCTATATGTTAACAGCTATAAACAAACAACAGAACGCTTATCCTGATGGGGAGTTTATTGTGGCTGGTGATGTTAATCACTTCAACTTGAAGACCAAGGTTTCCAAGGTTTGAACAACATGTGAAATGCCCCATCAGAGGGGGGGGGATACACTGGACTGTGTTTATTCTAACATTCCTAAAGCCTTCAGAGCGTCACCCCTACCTCACCCTGGACAGTCGGATCACCTGTCACTTTTTTTAATTCCAGCATACTGCCCCATCATTAAGAAACAGCAACCTGTTGTTAAAACAGTTAAAATTTGGCCGGAGGGAGCATCTCTACAGCTGCAGGACTGTTTTCAAAGCACTGACTGGAGTTTGTTTTCCACTCAGGATTTGGATGAATATACATCTACCGTGCTTTTTTATATCAGATGTTGTGTGGAAAGTGTCACTACCAACAAACGCATCTGTGTCTACCCAAACAGGAAGCCATGGATGACTAAGGAGGTTAAACTTCTCCTGAAAGATCGCAATGCAGCTTTTAGATCTGGCAACAAAGAACTGTACAGCGTTTCTAGGCACAACCTCAAGAAAGGGATAAAATCAGCCAAATCTGCATATAAAGAGAAGATTGAGGATCACTTTACCTCTAGGGACTCAACACGCATGTAGCAGGGTATGCATCATATAACCAACTTCGGGGGCAGCAGAGACACTATGACAGCAAGTAGTATCACGCTGGCTGAGGAACTGAACTGCTTCTTTGCCCGATTTGAGAGAGAATCGGACGATGCAGCTTTACCACAGCTGGACTCTGCAGACTCACTTTTCAGACGCATCAGGTTAAGCGAGTCCTGAGAGCAACGAATGCCAAGAAGGCATTCCCAGGCAGGGTCCTCCGGGATTGTGCACATCAGCTTGCAGATGTTTTTACAGACATATTTAATCTCTCACTGGCACATGCTGTTGTACCAGCCTGCCTTAAAACTGCCACTATTATTCCAGTGCCCAAGCAGTCCAGCACCACTTCCCTAAACGATTACAGACCAATAGCACTAACACCTATTATATCCAAGTGCCCTGAAAAAGACTCATCCTGGGATATATTAAATCCATCCTCCCTCCTACACTTGACCCACACCAATATGCATACAGACCAAACAGATCTGCGGAGGATGCAGTAAACACTGCTCTCCATACCGCACAGGAACATCTGGAGCAGAAGGATACATATGTAAGGATACTCTTTGTAGACTACAGCTCTGCTTTTAACACTATCATTCCTAGCAGGCTGGTCACAAAAATGCTGGATCTGAGTCTTAGCAATCAAATATGTTTGTGGATCATGGATTTTCTCAGGAACCGCTCACAGATTGTGAGATTGAGCTCGCATACCTCCTCAACTCTGACTCTTAGTACTGGAGCACCACAGGGATGTGTGTTGAGCCCTCTGCTCTTCTCCCTCTATACACATGATTGTACATCAGTGTACCCTACTAATACAATAATTAAGTTAGCTGATGATACAACAATTGTGGGGCTTATCTCAAATGGCAATGAGGTTGCCTATAGAGATGAAGTGTATAGATTGGTTGAATGGTGCACAGGCAACAATCTGTCTCTTAACATCAAAAAGACGAAGGAGCTAGTCATAGACTTCAGGCGACATCGAGAGGAACTTCAGCCCTTGAAAATAAAGGGAGAGGAGGTGGAGAGAGTGTCCAGTTTTAAGTCCTTGGGCATCCATGTTAGCGAGGACCTTAAGTGGACTGTTAACACTGCTGCTCTGGTCAAAAAGGCCCAACAGAGACTTTACTTTCTACGAACTTTGAGAAAGGCCCATCTCTCTGCCAGACTGTTGAAGTCGTTCTACCACGGTACGGTCGAAAGTAGACTAACATATTGCATTACAGTCTGGTATGGAAATTGTTCAATGTCTGAAAGAGCTGCACTGCAAAGGGTTATTAAAATCTCACAAAAGATCATCGGACCCCCCTCCCTTGAGGACATCTACAGGCTTCGCTGTCATATCAGAGCCTGCACTATTATCAAGGACAAAACTCACCCTTTTCACAATTTGTTTGCATTATTGCCACCTGGAAGACGCTACAGAGCTTTAAAGACTCGCACCTCCAGATTTAGAAACAGCTTTTACCCAACAGCCATATGCAAACTGAATTCTTCCTCCCCGTTTCTCTTTCTTCATAACTAACCTTAAAATTCTGGAAGGATGGACTGTGCCATACTATTGCAATCAAATGCACAAGTCACATTAATACTGGTTTTTAGGTTTCTTTTAGGAATAATTCATCTATTTTTTAGGAATATTTATTTATTTATTTATTTATATGTATGTTTTTTTTATAAGTGTGAATGTAGATGATATAGTTGCATTTCCATGAGAGATATGACATTTCGTTGTATGCTATATGCAATGACAATAAAGGTATTCAATTCAATTCAATTAATGAATAATCTATGTCATCAGGCTCTGATTAGCACTAATGTAGATAAAAACAAGAAACTTTGTAATGTAACGATTGTGTCTCACTATTTGATGTCGAAGGCCCTTCCTCTCTTGTTCCTTTAAGGAGTGACAAAAGGCGGCCACAAGCTTGTCCAGTTTTTCAGCATGGCGGCCCAAGAATTCCCTCGCATCCTCGATATTCTTCAGACAGTACGGAGCAGAAACAGTACTTAAATCCTCTGCGAAAGCTGAAGAAAGAGAAACAGAATCAAAATGTTAGTCTAGCGAACAATACATTTACATTATTCGACCTCAACGTAACCAGGCATGTTGCAACAAGATGTCAATAAATCACTAAATCTTTTCATTGTTGATCTGAATTTTTGACTATCAAATCACCAGGGCTGTGGTCAGCGTCGAAGGGCCGTGTGATGCACAGTATGCTGTAGGCCTGCTCTTTCTCATTGTAGAACGTCTCCTCAAACAGGACGGGGACAGAGGTGGGATTGGGAAACCCTGCACCCAGCCGGACCTGGTTATTGTCTATAGACACTTCCTGGAAGATATGTCACACAAAACAGCTGTTCGGTTACAGACAGCATCCAGAAATTCCATTCTGATGATACATGTAGAACTATGTGGGATTTTACATACCTTTCCATCCAGCGTCTGGTAACCCTGTTCAGCAGGCTGAAGCACGTATCCGTCGAACTGAGATGCTGTAAAGGAGGCCGCTGGTAAACTTCCACAACACGGCACTAGAATCTAAAACAAACATCACACAATAAATAACAGCCTACATAACACAACCACAACCAGCCTAGGTAGCAAAACATGGATGCATTAGTTCGCTCAAAAACTAAAATTCTGCTAATCAAAGCACTTTCATATTAAAGGGTTAGTTCACCCCGGAATGAAAATTCTGTCATTAATTACTCACCCTCATGCCATTTCAAACCCGTAAGACCTTCGTCCATCTCTGGAACACAAATTAAGATATTTTTGATGAAATCCGAGAGCTTTCTCTCCCATAGGCAGCAATGCAACTGATATGTTCCCAGACCCAGAAACATAGTAAGGACATTGATAAAACAGTCAACGTGACATCAGTGCCTCAACTGTAATTTTATGGAGCTGCAAGAATACTTTTTGTGTGCAAACAAAACAAAAATAATGACTTTATTCAACAATCCTTCTCCTCCAAATCACTTCTTCCACCATTATCGAAAGTACTGTTGTATTGTATGTACTGTTGAATATGAATTGTATGAATTGTTGAATAAAGTCGTTATTTTTTATGCACAAAAATTATTCTCGTAGTGTCATAAAATTATGGTTGAACCATTGATGACAAATGGACTGTTTTATCGATGTCCTTACTACGTAAAATTTCAGTTGTGTTGCTGTCTATGGAGGGTCAGAAAGCTCTCGGATTTCATCAAACATATCTTAATTCATGTTAAGAGGTCTGCGCGGGTCTATTTTTTTAGTCCCACTCCCGCAAGGTTC